GGAGGAAAATATCAAATCAATATGTTGAACATTTTAAAATTACACAATTTAGTATATTAAATATATCTCAATAAAAAAGAAAGGAAAGGGAGAAACAGACTCAATTATGGGGCTTATAGGTTGGAAAAGTTTGTCAGTTATCTTTGAGTGAGAACTATGAGCAAATTTTCTTTTTTTGTGTGTGTGCTTCCTACATTTTCCAAATTTTCTACAGTGAACATGTATCACTTTTATAACTTGAAAAAACTGTAAAATCTATCTTACCCATCCTGCCTACTTTCTCATACTACATTCCCCCAACACACCTGGAAATTTTAATCCTCCCAACACAGTCCTTTCTAGCATCACTGCAAAATTATATGCCACCTCCCAATTTCCCATCAAATGATAAAATAGCAATGGGCTGTATGTAGATGTAATATAACTAGTGCAGAAATCCCTTTTGAACTTGTCAAGGGAGTATTTTTTGAGACAAAAGATTAGAAATGTAAATTAAAGAAAACAAAGTAATTTCTTATGTCAATGATTATAATCAAGTTCTCTTAGAACAGTCAAGGCATTTCTCATCCTAGGTGAAAACTGGTGCCTTCTCATCAATGTACTGAGTATCTACTTAGTGCCAAACATAGCTTGGCTATACATAAGCTTAATTTTTTAAAGCTAAGTTTATCTTACGGATAATCTACAGAGAAATGTAAAATCTTTAGAAAGTTTTGGGCAAACATTTAACAACTTCCATCAGAATCAATAATTTTTAAGTGAAAAAAAACCTGCAAAAACTTAGTGGTACTGTTATTCCTTGTAGAACATCACACCTATTCACCATAATAAAGCACTGTCAAATTACAGACTACCAAATAGAATGTGAAAATCATTTTTCCTTGTTATAGAGGTGCCTAACAAGTAGTTTGAAGTTTGTATTCAAGCTAACTCTGGTTAATTATGTTTGGCCAATTTTTAGAAAGTTTACACATCTACCACATTGGAATGCAAAACATTTATGGACCCACAGAACTGTGGCAGCTTAAAGAATAGTGTAGTGGGCAAACATATAGATCTGAATTCAAACACAATGCGACTGTGGAGCATCCCTGAACTTAATTTCTTGATCCGTAAAATGGAAATAATACCCACCCACCTTACTGGACTGTTGTAAAGAATAAGGTGTACTGGTACATAAGCGTACCAAGTGCAATATCTGACATACAGCAAATAATCAATAAATGTTATTGTTTTACTCTCTGCTAGAAAGTAAAAACCATATCTTGTCATTTTTATATCCTTCAATATGGCTTTAGTAGGTACTCACTAAATGTTTCTTTAAATGAATCTCTGTAAATTTAAGGCTAACTACTTCAACAACCACTTGAACAAGTAAGTTCTACTAAATAAATTCTGCTGAGAATGGAACTTCAGATTCCCAGCACTTTATCAGGCATTTTGATGGAGATGAATCCCCATTAATTGACAAGGTAACTTTACTAGTATGTTAATATTTGGGTCTGAATTCTATAAAATTTGCCAACATTTTCATTTTGAGATTCTTTTTTTTTTTTTAATATATTTTATTGATTTTTTCAGAGAAGAAAGGAGAGGGATAGAGAATTAGAAACATCGATGAGAAAGATCGATCAGCTGCCTCCTGCACGCCCCCCAGTGGGGATGTGCCCGCAACCAAGGTACATGCCCTTGACCGGAATCGAACCTGGGACCCTTCAGTCCGCAGGCCGAGGCTCCATCCACTGAGCCAAACCGGTTTGGCTTTTTTGAGATTCTTTATATAGTTTTAATTAATCCAGTTTCCTTGAAAATAAACTTTAACTTCTTTGGCCTCACAGAACTAGCTCATTAAGTTTCCTACTACATTTCAAATTTAAAAAAGAAAAGAAATTGTCAATTAATTTTATATTTCTAAATAGCCTATTTTAATTTTTACTACAGTAAATAAATTTTCTTCCTTACACTTTGAAGTCTTTAGCCATCAAAGTTCATGTGTAAACATTACTACATAGAAATATTATAGTAATTAACAAGACAAAGTACTGTAGTTTTAGATTTTCTTTGTTTTGTCTTCCTATAACCAAAGGTTATCAATAATATAACTCCAGTTCAAGTGCTAAAGTACTGCAAATTCTGCAATATAATTTGAAAAATAATTTGAAAATGTTAAATATATAATGTTTCAAAACAAACATCAATTTCATTAAAAGTAGGTAACATGTAACTTTCAGAGTGAAACAAGTATTCCTGAGACAAGATATGGCAAAGTAGCAGTTTTTAACTACTAAACATAAATCTTTAAACTTGGGACATAAATTACAATTTAAATACTTAAAATAGCTTGGCAGAGAAGCATTAAGATCTACATATTAAATGACCTTTTAATTTAAATAAATTCAAACTTAGAAGCTTTTAAAATATTGGTTCTACCAGCAAGTTTGATAAATATTTATAGACTAGTTTCTTGACCCAATGAAATAATAAAATGTTTGAATAGATGGAAGTGCCTGGTGAGGCAAATTTTATCACCATTTATCTTAAGTGCTGATATAATTAATCTCAATTATTTTAATAAACATTATACAGTTCAAATGCATTAGAAATGGGAGTCAAATACACTAAGAAAAATGCCCTGGGTATATATGACAACCTATAGGGTAACACTTAATAAAAACTATTCTTTTTCTGGGTTACATTTTAGTTTATTTAAACTAAAGACTTTAGATATTTCCTTACTTTGGTCCCATTTTTAAAACAGTCATATTTAAAATTTCTTATTTCTCTAACTTGCTTCCTTGTTATTGTCAAAACTGATTATTATTAAAAGTTCCCAAACGTTATATTTTAATACACATAAAAATGTTTTCAGGCCCAGTGTCTTTCATGCCAACTGTCTATAAAATACAAATTAGTATGCCAAATATTATATAATTCTGAAGCCACTCCAAAGCTCCTGTCATTTTCGTGTGTGTGTGTGTGTGTGTGTATGTGTGTGTTTTCTGAATAGGAACCTATTCATATTTCAAGATTAGGCAATGGAATGCATTTCCGATTGTGCCTCAAACAAACTTCATTTTAAATCTCATGTAAATTAATAAGACAATAAATTTCATTCATTTCGCAAATGTGGTATGCTGTAAGACCTCCTTATAAAAAGCTAAGAATAATTTAAAAACTATATAGCAACATATTCAATTACACAAAATTCAGCTTTGCATTTCCAGAGGATTCCAAGTTTGCAACAGTTCATTGGTATATCTTGCTGAAATCTCTATTTTTGTGGAGGAAATATCAAGTATTATGATAATACTTTCAAACCTACATCTTGCACTTACACCTTGCGTATGCAGAGATCTATTGAAAAACACATTTGAAAGGCAAAAAAAAATTTAGCAGCTGCAATAATTTTGACATCAAGAATCAATCCTTCAGTGTCTAAACTCAGTCTTTAAAAAAAAGTAACTGTCCAACGCACTAAAGAAATAGAAGTATGACTTTTTTTTCCCCTCCTCTTAGAAGTCTATGAGACGACTACATTAAAACGAGTCAAAGTAAGTTTAAGTCAAAAAACAGGCATGAAATTTTAATCCAGATGTAAACATCTCTAGAAAACTCCAAAATAATGAACACTAGATCCAACGGGGTAGCGTAGAGCCCTAGAAACAAAAATCGTGCCTACACGATCAGATACTTAGCTGGAAATGGGAAACAATAACATTGCTACTGGACACGGACTTAGCTAACTAAGGGACCCCATCTGCTCTCCTCTCCTGCAGGCCTGCGGTGCCCAGCATTTTCCCTGAGTCGACTGCCCTTCTCGTTTGTAAACAACTTCTCGGGTGGTCAAACGGGAGGGAAAATGAAAGTCCGAAAAGCAACAGCATCTAAGCTTCCGAATCTGAGCACGGGAGTCGCTGAGAAAGGGGGATCCCATATATCACTTCGTAAAAACAGAAAGAAGAAAAAGGTAGCCCTCGAATTCGAGAAAAGAAATACAGTCACCTGAAGAGGCTGGTGAAGTAACGCCAGCATTTAGTAAGACACGTTTGTTTTAAAAAAAAACAAAACCAACAAAAAAAACACCCCCCCACACACACACAAACTTGTCTGGGGGCTGGAAGTTATGGGGCGCTCTTTGTGCGAAGTCGGAGGGGAAGGGGAGGGACGAGAAAGCAGCTCGGGAGTCATTCAAAGGAGTTCGAACAGCGGAGAGCGGCGCGGGCGGGGCGGGGCCGGCGGCGGCGGAGGGGGCGGCAGCCCACCGCTCTGACACCGGGAGGGGGCGGGGAGCGGGCCGCCCGGGGCCGGGAGACGGCGGGCCGCGGCCGCGGGCAGACACGGGGTCCCTCCGGTAGGTGATGAAGGCAGCGGCGGGCCGGGCTCTGGGCGGGGGAGGGTCCGGCTCCCGAAGGAAGCGGCTCCCGACAGACATCCCCAAGTTCCCGCACTGAGCGGGCGAGGGGTGCGGCGGCCGTAGGGCTTCCATGGGCCCCCGACCCCGCGCCAGGTTCACCCCCCTCTGCCTCCCCGCCAGCGCCCCGCACCCGGGCCGCGGCCCTTACCTGGAGCTCCGTGAGCAGGATCTCCCCCCGTTCGGGGTTGGACGCCATTGCACTCCGCTCTGGACTCCGCACCTGGACGCGACCGCCGCTCGCGAAGGGAGAAGGCGGGACGGGACCGGGGAGGGAGGGTGAGGAGCGGAGAGAGAAAGGGAAAAACACACACACACACAAAAAAAACCCTAGGGCTTCATGGAGGCGCAGCCCCTGCTGGCGGCGCGGCTTACTCCGCCCGGTTCATGGAGAGCGGCGGGGAGCGAGGGCACTCATAGCGGGCTCCCCCTCGCCGCCGGCCCGCCGCCGCCCTCCCGCGCCGACTCCGTCCGCCCAGTCGCTCCCTCCGGGCGACGCCTGGAGCCGCCTCTGGCCTCTCGTCGCGGGGCGCAGCGGCCGCGGCTGTAAGCTCCTCCTGTCGCACCATTTAGCTGTCACCGCGTCGCAAAAGCGGCCTCACTTGGCGGCTGCCGGGACACGTGACGGCCGGGGTCGCTGCCGCGCGCCGGGCGGGAAAGGTGGGGCGGAGCGGCTCCGACCCGAGTCGGGGGCTGCCTGTGGACGCGGACGGGGTGAGGACGGGAGGAGGGCGCCGAGCTCGCCCTCGGGCGGCGGGAGGAGGAGGAAGACAGCGCGCCCAGGCTCCTGCTCCGTGCAGCGGCCCCCGCGGGTACCGCCCGAGCGCGGAGCCTGCTCGCTCTGTTTTGTTCGCGGTCTCCCCAGCCCTCTTTTTCGTTTCTTGCGGAAGGTTAGGCCTCACGTAGACGGTCCCCTTCCTCACTCCCACAACCGAACAGTTTCGGAACTCAAACCGCATAGGTTATTCCTCCGCGCGCCTTTGGACCCGTAAGGTGCACGGGGCTCCTCTGGGGTGTGGTCTGCGCTTTTGAAGAAACATAGCCGCTCGCGATATCTGGCAGCTTTAAACGCACAGTCTTTTTTGAGCGAGCTTTTCCCAAGCGCTGAACTATGTTTTTTGTCGGTGGAACAGCACAGAATTTAGGATTTAATTAGCTGGCGTCTTGAACTTTTTTAACTGAATTTAAACTGAAGGAGGGCGGGGCGGAATAAAAGCCAGGAAAGGGGAAAAAGCCAACTCTCCTTGGTGTAGTAAACATCCAAGCTAGCCTGTTAGTGACATATAGCTAAATAGTGTAAATTTAGGGGTTTTTTTTTTTAATGACTGTATAGTATCCAAGAACGCCAATAAAGTCTCCAACAGGTAGCTTTTGTTTTGTCTGAGCACTGAATAGATACTATTCTAGGCAATTGCCTACCTTTAGATGATCGGAGGCTGAAATACAATGGCTTTGTTAAAAGCTGCTTGGGAGAAAGTGATAGGGATTCCTTAGATAGCTACCTCAATAATGGCTTAGTTGGCATGCTTCTTAAGAAGTATGTATACCATTATGTTCTTGCCTTACACTCTGTAAGATCTTTTGGACTTATGCTGGGATTTAATGTTTATCTTTTTGTCTTAAGTCTCATGCATTAATTTGACAAACATTTGTTGAAGGTCTGGAGTTCTGTGACCAGATTTTCTGAACTCCAACTCATGACAGGTGAAAAAAGAATTTTTCTGGTGTGTATTTCAAAAGTTTTTACAGCTATTTATATGTTTAATGCATTGCCTTGGTTGAAAATAATAATTAAAATATATGAAATAACAACTCTTGGAAAAGCCAGATTATAAATGTCCTCCCTGTTAACTAAGAGCCAGACAGTGTTCTAAGGCCCTGGAGTTAACAGCTAGAATTACAAAAGAGTTCTTGTCCCTGGAGTGATTGAGTCCTTTAGAGAAACAGACTGAGGTCCAAACCAATCTGTCTCGATAATGCAATTTTAAATGGTATGAATGAAATGTTTGGGGAGCACTGCATGTGATAAAATATACATAACAAAACTTACCATCTTAACAATTACAAGTGTACAATTCAGTGCATTAAATGCATGCAAATGTATTTGGCTTATTTTTGCCTTGCTTTATTCCAGAATGGATTTAATATTGCCGGCAGCCGAAACCGGTTTGGCTCAGTGGATAGAGCGTCGGCCTGTGGACTGAAAGGTCCCAGGTTGATTCCGGTCAAGGGCATGTACCTGGGTTGCGGGCATATCCCCAGTAGGAGATGTGCAGGAGGCAGTTGATCGATGTTTCTCTCTCATCGATGTTTCTAACTCTCTATCTCTCTCCCTTCCTCTCTGTAAAAAAACAATAAAATGTATTAAAAAAAAAAAATATTGCCGGCATGCACATAGTAGCTGCTTAACAATGATGGAATTTAAAATGACCTATGTAAGGACTGAGAAATATAGTCAATGGGTATTCTTTTTAAAAATAAATTTAGATAAAATACAGAAAACACTCACGTTTTTAGCACCATGGAGTTTTAAGTAGGAGGGAAAAGCCATAATTTACTTAGCTAATTAGGAACATGGCAATTTAGTGGCAGAAATGGAGCCTAGAACCTAAATCTCCTAATTGCCAGTCCTGTGTTTCTTTTAACCTAGACCATGCCGCTATAAGCACTTTAAAATAGAATACTCATTTAAACAGAACTCAAAGCATTATATACCCCCTCAAAATTTTTACCTTAGAAAAACACTTAAAATTTTACATATTTCTAATGCTAAAACAAGTATTGATAATAATTTTAATTGTATATATCACATGTAAATGTAAACAACAAAAATAAAAGTTTTTAAAGTTATAGGAATTATTTCTGAGACCAGTTATGCTGGAAAAAGTAGGATAATACAAAAAGGACACCAAGACAAAATGAAAACTGCTTGATAATCTGGAAAATGTAATAGTTTAAACAGTAATTAGTTTAATTTAAGCTAAAAACTGCTACCCATTTCATAGTCTCTCTTCAGGGCCAAGGTAAGGGGAAATAATAGTACATGGAACAAACTTATCAGAATGAAGCACACTTGAAAAAGTTTTCATGGAAACTCATATCGTGTTGATTCAGATGAGTTGTATTCAGTCCCTATTTGCAAGTGTTTTTAGGGAATCCTAAGTGTAGTTCATCTGAAGTTATGTTCTAATTTATATTACCATAAAACAAATGAAAGTATTTTTTACACATGTCCATATAAGAAGTTAAAGACCTCAAATATATCTGGATTATATCACTAGTTATGCAGGCACCTTTAATTTTTTTCATAGCTTTTTTAAAGGTCTTTAAAAATTAGAAATTACCAAACATAGAAATAGTTTCAATTAAAAATTTGATAGAAAGTGTTATCTTGTATTTTTCTTTTTATTTTTTTTTCTTTGTAATAATTAAATCTTTATTGTTCAGACTATTACAGTTGTTCCTCTTTTTTCCCCCCACAGCTCCCCTCCACCCGGTTCCCACACCACCCTCTGCCCTTACCCTCCGCCCACTGTCCTCATCCATATGTGTATGATTTTTGTCCAGTCTCTTCCCGCACCCCCACACCCTTTCCCCTCTGAGAATTATCAGTCCACTCCCTTTCTATGCCTCTGATTCTATTATAATCACATTTATTCTGTTCATCAGATTTTTTATTCACTTGATTTTTAGACTCACCTGTTGATAGATATGTATTTGTGATTCATCATTTGTATCTTTACCTTTGTCTTCTTCTTCCTCTTCTTAAAGGATACCTTTCAGCATTTCATATAATACTGGTTTGGTGGTGATGAACTCCTTTAGCTTTTTCTTATCTGTGAAGCTCTTTATCTGACCTTCAATTCTGAATGATAGCTTTGCTGGATAAAGTAATCTTGGTTGGAGGTTCTTGGTATTCATCACTTTGAATATTTCTTGCCACTTCCTTCTGGCCTGCATGGTTTCTATTGAGAAATCAGCTGACAGTCGTATGGATACTCCCTTGTAGGTAACTGACTGTTTTTCTCTTGCTGCTTTTAAGATTCTCTCTTTATCTTTTGCTCTTGGCATTTTAATTATGATGTGTCTTGGTGTGGTCCTCTTTGGATTCCTTTGGTTTGGGATTCTCTGTGCTTCCTGGACTTGTAAGTCTATTTCTTTCACCAGGTAGAGGAAGTTTTCTGTCATTATTTCTTCAAATAGGTTTTCAATATCTTGCTCGATCTCTTCTTCTGGCACCCCTGTAATTTGGATGTTGGTACGCTTGAAGTTGTTCCAGAGGCTCCTTACACTATCTTCATATTTTTGGATTCATTTTTTATTTTTACTCTTCCTGTTGGGTGGTTTTTGCTTCTTCGTATTTCAAATCTTTGACTTGATTCTTGGGATCCTCTAGTCTGCTGTTGGATCTTGCAGGGTGGATCCCAGACCCATGCAGGAGGCTACCAATCGATGTGTCCCTCTCACACTGATGTTTCTTTTTCTGTGTCTGTCCCCTTGCTTTCACTCTCTCCAGGGAAGCCAGGTTGCTGTAGTTCTCCATCATCACATCCAGGTATAATTTCCGCTGAGCTGAGTCCAGGCATTCCCACTCCTCCTGAGAGAAATCTATGGCCACATCCCTGAAGGTCAATGGTCCCTGAGAAGCAGCCATTTGGTCCTGGTCCTGATGGGGTCTGGGTTGTTTCCTCAGGTGACACTATGTTGAGGAGTCACAGAATGTGCCTTCAAAGATGTCCTCACAGCCTGTTAATCAGCTCCCCTCACACAGTCAGAAGGACCTGAAAATGAGGAAAAGGCCACCCCTCCTGTCCTCAGGGGGAACGGCCACCTTCCTGTATTTTTCTTTTTAAAATGAAAAATCTTACAGGAAAAATCCTAGTAGCATTGAATTTCATTATTTTTGTTTTGTTTTTTGTGGTATTGGTGAGAAACTACTTTCAGATATTTAGATGATACAGGGAAAGGGTCAAAAAACTTTACTTTGTGAACCAAACTGTTTTTATTGCCTTGCATTTTTTATTTCCCCCCTTTTTTTCTTAATATTAGTAAAGTGGGTTGTTGTTTTTTTCCAATTTTAGCTTATCCCAAAAGCATTTTTAGAGAATCGAAGGAAGGTAATTTTTGGTGGTGTTATTTTGATGTTAGTGTTAAAAAAAAAAAAAAAAAAGAGTAACCCCATACTCCTAAGGCAGCCGTGGGCAAACTACGGCCGTACCCTTTTATGTAATGATGTTTACTTTGAATTTATATTAGTTCACACAAACACTCCATCCATGCTTTTGTTCCGGCCCTCCGAACCCACTGTGGCCCTAGAGTCAAAAAGTTTGCCCACCCCTGTGACCTAAGGGATAGTAGTGAAGTAGCAGTGGTAATCAAAGTCACAGATTACCAAAGGAGAGGCAGAACTCAGGGAGACAGAATCAGAATGACTTAATCACTCTTTTCTTATTTAAGAAATCCCCCTTGTAGGGATTGTTCCTTTGTGTGCTGTATGAGGATAATTTTGAGAAGAAGATAGTTTTAAAAAAAAAGTCAAGAACACAGAAGAGTAAACTAGTTGTAGCGACTGTAGCAGATACTTTCTGCAATGTCTTCTCAGCCCACATCCTCTTCTCTGAGAATTGCCCCTGTTACCAGAGAACAGGTCTCTGTAGCCATGTTGATTCTGATTGACCTAGAAATTTCAGTAACCTTGGGGTGGACCGTGATAGAACATTTCCAAGCCAACAAAATTCTGTTTCCAAGAATCTGGAAATAGAACATTGGAATGTTGATTAACTGGTGGCCCTGCAGTGTGAGGTGTTACGGTTCTAGGACTAGAATGGCCATTTTCTGCCATATGTACAAAGATGCAGAAAAATCTACTCTTTGGAAAAGAAAAAAGTTCTTCCTTTCTGTCACTGAGAATATAGTGCTGATCAAGGCATACCTGATCTCTGTCTTCATGGAATTTTTAGTTTAGCTAAGGAGACATAATGACAGAGAAGGTGAATTCAGGGGGCTTTGAATACAGGTCAGGCAATCCTTTCCTGAGTACTTCACAGGTAAGTTGAGGTCTCACTGGGGAGTAAATGTTAATTAGGCAAAAATATGTGTTAAAGACTTTCCAAGGAGACAGAATAACAGATAGATGATCTAAAATGGGAAGGAGCATTGTATAAGTACTGAAGGCTAGTGGGGCTATAGCAAAGAGATGGAGCAATAAGCAAGAACTTATAAGCCATGTGTATCAGTTAGTATGATAGGATAGGTTGTGATGAGTAACAAATGATTCCAAAAATCTCGGTGGCCTACAATAAGGTTTGCTTATCTCTTTGTGCAAAATGCCCACAGCTCTGCTCCATGTCTTCTTCGCTGTACTTGGGCTAACAGAGCAGTCTCTATCTGGGATATTGCCATTGTCATGGCAGAAGGAAAAGAAAAGATAAAAAGCTCTGCTAATGTGCAAACAGAAGCAGAGGTGAGAGACTATTTCTCCCAGGAAGGTGGAAGAAATGTAGCAGAATTGGTTCTTGATGTTTTAGCATTTGCTTGTTCTAGTCTGTGGGAAGTTCAGCTACTTTATACTGTGTTTCTTCCTAGGTTCTCTGTGTTCCCATAATCTTTCCTTTTGTTGAAGCAAATTTTGTGTATGTGTGTGCGCGTGCGCGTGCGCCGTTTCAGCAACCAGCTCTAACAAAGCCATTCAACCAAAGTAAGAATCATCAGAGAGTGACACCACAATTCTGGCTATAGCAGGGGTGGGCAAACTTTTTGACTCAAGGGCCACAATGGGTTCTTAAACTGGACCGGAGGGCCGGAACAAAAGCATGGATGGAGTGTTTGTGTGAACTAATATAAATTCAAAGTAAACATCATTACATAAAAGGGTACGGTCTTTTTTGTTTGTTTGTTTTATTCATTTCAAACGGGCCGGATCCGGCCCGCGGGCCGTAGTTTCCCCACAGATGGATAGGGTAGAAATAAGTAGGACCAGCAACACAATTTATTTAGTGCTGTCTCCTCTCTCAATGACTCCTCCTCTATCCTGTCTACTTATTATTCCCAAAAGATTCTAACACCAACAAACATACAAATTATAAACAATAAGTATATATTAAACCTGGTTTGAACCTTCCCACAGCATTTTGTTGATAAATCTGTTTGGGTACTTACATTTCCTTGTGGTGTCTTGTAACATATGTTGTTCTCCTGCTAGACTTAAAGCCACTAGAGAGGTTACATGAATCTTATGTGGCCTAGTAGGGTGTGTCTTATGAGTAGATGTTGTGTGTGTGTTGCAGGGGGGGTGGGTGGGGGGTTCTATACGTATTACAGAAATATTTTAGGATAATGCTCAGCTAGGGACTCTCTGTCCCTCAGAAAATTAGGTAAGTTTGCCTTGAATGCCCACTTTTTTGGCTCTAAAGTCAAGAGCTTGTTTCCCTAATCCAGTTTTTCTGATTCTCTGATGGGTTGTTTACACATGCTTGCCTCCTTTTCTCTCCCACACAAACACTTCCCCACTGCCTGTGCCTATACTGATATAGACCTAAAGCTCGACCCATGACCAATTACCCGAATATCAACTCTCCTCAAGAATTTATGAATTCATTAACTTGGTACCAAAGATTTAAGAGGGGTCACACTATATAGTACACTAGGGGCCCAGTGCACAAAATTCGTGCACTCAGGGGGTCCCTCAGCCTGGCCTGCACCCTCTCACAGTCCGGGAGCCCTTGGGGGATGTCTGACTGATGTCCGTGGGGAGCGAGCCTAAGCTGCCAGTGGGACATCCTTAGTGCTGCTGCTGAGGCTGGAGAGGTTCCCACCACTGCTGTTGCACTCACCAGCCATGAGCCTGGCTTCTGGCTGAGCAGCACTCCCCCTGTGGGAATGCACTGATCACCAGGAGCAGCACCTGCATTGAGCATCTGCCCCCTGGTTGTCAGTGTGCGTCATAGTGACCAGTCATTCCACTGTTTGGTCAATTTGCATATTAGCCTTTTACTATATAGGATGATGCTCTTTATCCTGAATCTGGGACTACCTCTCTTTTCCACTCTCAGTAGATTAACAAGAAATTCTGTTCCTTTTCCAGGCTGTTGCAGTTTAACCATACTTAGATTCTTCTGATTCTCAAGTGTTACTCCAAATAAGATTGTTTGGAAATATCTCCTCAAAATATACATGTTCTTCTGAAAGGGATACCAGAAAACACCATTTTCCAAGCTTGGTACATAATCAAATGAATGGTAACATTTTGAATTTTATGTATTTGAAGTAAAGAAAAATAAAGTATGTTTTAACCACTATTGAGAATTTAAACTTTCTATTCTAACCCTCAGTATCCCTTGATCCTCTTAAAATTATTTAAAACTCCAAAGAGCTTTTGTTTATGTGAGTTATATCTTCTGATGTTTACTATATTAGAAGTTAAAGCTGAGAAATTTTTAAAACACAAGGATACAAAAAAAAACACACACACAAGGATACACAAGCTTATTTTATTAGCCAACAGAGTGATGACCTCATCCCATGTCACACAGCCTCTGAAAAAACTCTATCTTACACCTGTAGGAGAATAAGAGTGGAAAAGGCAAGCAACATCATAATCTATATTACAAAAACCCAGTGGCCAAATGCTGTAATGACCAAAGACCAGCGTGGGTGGGCGGAGCCGTGCGATTTTGTGTGCTGGGCTTCTAGTATTATTATAAAAATAGGTTTAACCTTGCGGACCAGACCTCCTGGACCGTACTTTGAGAACTGCTGTTCTAACCTATACAGCGGCCTCTGGATTAGTACAGTTTCTCTGCTGGTGAATATAGAAATGTGACCTCTTTGTCTCCAGAGTTGAAGATCTATTACATGCCAACATAATTACAAGCTGCTGGGCATTTCTAGTGAAACATCAATGTGGTACATGAGAAATGTTGGCTATCCTTGTCAAAATGATAAAGGAATAGAGAGATGAAAAAGTTTATGTAAAACATGACTATTTTACTACTAGTGCTTCCTCTAGAGCAGCGGTTCTCAACCTTCTGGCCCTTTAAATACAGTTCCTGCCCTAACCGGTTTGGCTCAGTGGATAGAGCATCAGCCTGTGGACTCAAGGGTCCCAGGTTCAATTCCAGTCAAGGGCATGTACCTTGGTTGCGGGCACATACCCAGTAGGGAGTGGGCAGGAGACAGCTGATCAATGATTCTCTCTCTCTCATCGGTGTTTCTAACTCTATCCCTCTCCCTTCCTCTCTGTAAAAAATCAATAAAATATATTTTTTAAAATAAATAAATAAATAAATACAGTTCCTGATGTTGTGACCCAACCATAAAATTATTTTCGTTGCTACTTCATAACCGCAATGTTGCTACTGTTATGAATCATAATGTAAATATCTGATATGCAGGATGGTCTTAGGCGACCCCTGTGAAAGGGTCGTTAAACCGCCAAAGGGGTTGCAACCCACAGGTTGAGAACCCTGCTCTAGGGGAAAGCTCTTCTGCAACTGTAAAATGGCAGAAAATAAAATCAATAGGTACAAAGAATTAATATTGGTTATACCAAGCATTTTAAAGGGTTTGGGAGGTGAACAACAGGGAGGTGGCTTTCCCTACCATCATTTCTTAAGCTCCCAGCTATTATTCATTAATACATATTTACTATCTGAATTAGGGTAAAGCTAAACTTTTTTAACAGACACCAAACATTGTTTAAAGAACACTGACATTTGTTACTCCCTCATGCATAAGATTATTAATCCAAGGTTATTAGTCTGGCTCTGCTCCACGAAGCCATTTAGGGACCCAAGTGTCTTTTATCTTACTGCTCTACCATCCACCATGGTGTTATTCTCAACTACAGGCTTGAAGCTGGGTCAAAGAACTCCATAATCTACTTTGTGGGAAGTAAAAAAGAGCCTGGGTGTTCGTAAATCCTATGTGTTAAGGCCCAGTCTCAAAGTTAACATATTTGTGACCCCATTCTATTGTAAGAATATATTCACCTAACCACACCTAGCTTCAAATGAGGCTAAGAAATGTGCTCTCTGACTAATCATGAGCCCACCCACAACCATTATACTGAACAAGAGGGTCAGGGTGGATTTTGATGGACAATTCACAGTATCCATCACATAGCTTTATAGTCAATGATTTTTGCAATCAGCAAATTGTTCTACTCAGGCTTTAAAATGTAAGCTTTCAACCTGTAACTACCACATTCTCTAGGATGTTGAATAAATATATTCATTGTGTCAGTTAAAAAACAAAATACTTTGACACTCCTAGCAAATCATTGTTCTCTTAGCTTGAGCTTTCTAGAACCCAGCCACCATTCTGTGAGAAGCCAAAACCTTGCGGAAAGGCTATATGTTGGTGTTCTTGTCAACAGTACAGCCCAGCCTTCAGATCATCCCAGCCCAGACACCAGACAGGTGATTGAAGATACCATATATTTTATTACCATACCAAGCTATGGTAATAGGTCTTCTAGTCTCAGCTATTCCAGTCCCCATCAATTCAAGTCACCAGATATTGGAATCATCCTATTTGAGGCCAGAGACATCATGGAAAGAGACAAACAACCTTACATGCCCTATCCAAATTCCTAAATCATACAATTTATGGGCATACTCAAGTGGTTTGTTTGTTTTAGGGTGGGAGAGCAATAGATACTCATGGCAATAGATAACTGAACATACATTCCAAGCTGGATATTTAGATAAGCCCACTTTTCAAATTCATTGATAGAATTCTTCTGTAATAGTTCATTTAAATTCTCTAAACTGATCTATTACAAAGTTTACCTTTTATAATTATTCACTCCTTGAGTGAAAAAAACAACAACATAGCAGACTTCTGTAATCACAGAATCTAGTATATACGTAAAGCTCCATTATGAGTATAAAGTACTTGATGAGAACTTGTTTGATAATTGTGTTATTTATAATACAAGTATATGTAACCATTTTTCATATTCATACATGTAGCTTATTAAGGTATGGCTGAAAAGATGTGCAAGTTCTAATTAAAAATAAGTGCTACTTATAAAAACAACTTTAAACTATATCATTTTATAAAGTGAAGGGTTTCCTATTAAAGATACTATTTTGGAAAACTACAGTCATTTGCATATCTATTTTTATATGCTGATAAGTCACATGATCTGTGTATTGCTTTTACAGTTTAACAGTAAGCCTTTCACCAAATGAAATTTTATTTATTTATTTTATTTTTTTTTTAAATACATTTTATTGATTTTTTACAGAGAGGAAGGGAGAGGGATAGAGAGCCAGAAACATCGATGAGAGAGAAACATCGATCAGCTGCCTCCTGCACGCCCCTCACTGGGGATGTGCCCGCAACCAAGGTACATGCCCTTGACCGGAATCGAACCTGGGACCTTTCAGTCCACAGGCCGACGCTCTATCCACTGAGCCAAACCGGTTCTGGCTGAAATTTTATTTTTAAAGTATCTTATCACTGCACACATACTTACGCAAGCAGTTTGAATGGTGCAGAATGTAAGATCCACATTTCAATTGCTTTACTGTGTTGCCTATAACAACTAGAGCTTCCTAAAGTTCTCCTTTATTAGAGCAAAATGTGGATGATTCATATACCATGCTTCAGCTGCCTTCATCATTTGGATGAGATAAGCTCTCAGCAAGTATTCGAGAAACTATGGTTCAAACTGTGTTATCCTGCTATAAAGCAATCTGCTAAACATTTCTGAAGCAATTTAGACAGCTGTGACTTGGTTGCAAACAATGTGGACATTTAATCTATTGACTTGAAATTGGGGCTACAGAGAAGATATTCAAGAGTTTCCTCATGAGTTCATTTGCCACATAGAAAAACGCTTCCTATTTTTTACGTGTCAAAAATGGAAACCTGAGAACTATCTATATTAAAGAATGAAAATGACTGACCTTATAAATTGTTTTTGATTAAAATATGTAGTATTGTAGATATAATGATATTAACCACCTACTGTAGGTCTAAACATTATTTTAAGGGATTTTATTCAAAAGAATATGACATGCTTTTAATTTTGTTCCAGGTTATATTTGCCTTACTATAAATTCTTCATAAAATATTGGTAAGTGGCTTGCCTATATTATTAACATCCTCTTTTCACTGTTTTCTATGCTGATAAAATCTGTATTTGGAGTAAATAATTATTCACCTATGAAATGCATTCCTTCCTGACATGAAACACAATTCAAAAATCTACTGCGACAGTTAATAAAATACTACACTAGTCAACTATACTATAATCTTTATACTGATCAACCATATTAAAACTTGAAATTCACTATAATATATTCATCAATATGTGAATAAAGACAAAGACAGAGGTTTATCAAAAAAGAATAAATGCTCTTTTTTTTTCCCCTTTTTTTCTGTCAGTTATTTTTATAGATATCATTTAGACTGTGACTATAACATGTCAAAATTCACTATGTGGACATTATTCAGGTATAACTGTACAATGTCAAAATAGAGTTATATTTGTTTAACATAACCAGTAGGTGAGTTAGATTTTCTCATTTTCAACTTCTTGGTTTAACATTATATGAGTTTAGTTAACAGAATAATGAAGCAAATAATTTCTTAGACCCTGCTGATTATTTAACAGATTTTACATTACCTCAAATTTTCACTTTTGAGTTGTCTTTCTAAAACTATTAACCTTCAAATGCATTTTCCTACTCCCACTGTTTTGTGATATAGACTAACAATTCTAGTAATAGCTGCTCTGAATGAATCATTTTTTATCAGCATCTATTTTACTTGCCCTAAGCACCAAGTAAAATGATCTCAATTGGGCCTTGCCCTATCACTTGAACGCTGATAGAATTGACATTCTTTAGCTACCATGATACAGTCAACTCATTTATTTTTCTTTGAAAGGAAAATGAAGCCAGAAGCTATAAAGACTTTTATAAAAAACAAAGCTAACTCAAAGTGTTAAAGATTTGGTTTGTTATTTGTAGGCAGTTCATACAAGACATCCTTTGCCTAAGGCAGTGTTAATGGATGAAAGATAGGACATTCCTGGGAAAGATTTGAAGTGTGATAGTCAGGATTTTCTACATAGTCATCCACTCTATACTTGGTGTGATATTTATGTGGCCTCTGATGGAGAATACCATATAGACAAATGGTAGTTATATCTATAAAGGGCAAAATATGTTTTTCAGTATACCATCATTTTTTCCCTGATATAGATAGGCTCCCTGCCCTCTCCTACCTCCTCCTATACCACATATAGTTAGAAATTACTTGAAATGAGTTGGTAAGTCATGTAGAATAAGGGTGATATCACACAGCTATCGCATCAATTCATTTTAGGGTTTGAAAAAAATACATATATATACAGTGGGTCTTGACTTACGAGTTTAATTCGTTCCAAGACTGAGCTCGTTAAGGAGCTTGTTAACTCAAATTACTCTGTCAACTCAATGCAAAAAATCGGCCGAGAGACAGCTGGTATCTCAAAAAACTCGTTAGTTGGGACTTTTGTTAGTCAAGACCCCACTGTGTGTGTGTGTGTATATACACATACATATCCTATCTAATAAAAGACAAAAAGGGTAATTAACTGTACCTCTGCTACGTTTCCCATTGGCTAATCATGGCGATATGCAAATTAACTGACAAGAAAGATGGCAGCCGGCAGCCACACAGCTGAAGTGAGCAGGAGGCTTGCTTACTCCAGTGATGGAGGAAGCCAAGGTTCCCGGCCTGCCGCCGCCGGCTTTGAGCCCGAAAGTAGCAATGTTTCCATTATAGAAGCTAAACAAACCCCAGATACCTGCTTTCAGCGGGCCATGGCCTCAGAGCTGGAGTAAGCAGGAAGGCAACAATGTTTCAATTATAGAAGGTAAATAAATCCCAGAATATAAAAAAAGAAGAAAAGGAATGGCTGGGAGCTTCAGTCGCTGGCCAGCCTGAAACGGCCCTCAGCCCTTCACCCAGACTGGCCACGCACCCCATTGGGGACCCCCCCCTGAAGGGGGTGTGACCAGCTGCAGACGGCCTTCAGCCCCTCACCCAGGCTGGCCAGGCACCCAAGCGGGACCCCCACCCTGATCCGGGACACCCTTCAGGGCAAACCAGCCGGCCCCCACCCGTGCACCAGGCCTCTATCCTATATAGTAAAAGGGTAATATGCAAACTGACCCTAACAGCAGAAAGACTGGGAATGACTGGTCACTATGACACATACCACGAGGGTGCAAATGTTCAATGCAGGAGTTGCCCCCTGGTGGTCAGTACACTCCCACAGGGGAGCCACAAGCCAGGCTGGTGGCTACCAGTACAGCGGTGGTGGTGGGAGCCTCTCCTGCCTCCTCAGCAGCACTAAGGATGTCTGACTGCAGCTTAGGCCTGCTCCCCGCTGGCAAGTGGACATCCCCCGAGGGCTGCCGGGCTGCCAGAGGGATGTCTGATTGCCATCTTAGGCCCAGTCCCCCGGGGAGCAGGCCTAAGCCAGCAGGTGGTCATCCCCCGAGGGGTCCCAGACTGCGAGAGGGCACAGGCCGGGCTGAGGGACCCCCCCACCCCCGAGTGCACAAATTTTTGTGCACCGGGCCTCATATATATATATATATATATATATATATATATATATATATATTTACTTTTTTCCTTTATTGATTGATTTTAGAGAGAAAGAGAAAGGGAGGGAGGAAGGAGGGAGAGAGAGAGAGAGAGAGAGAGAGAGAGAGAGAGAGAGAGAAACATTGATTTATTGTCCACTTACTTACACATTCATTGATTGAGTCTTGTATGTGCCCTGACTGGGGATTGAACCCACAACCTTGGTGTATCAGGACAATGCTCCAACCAACTGAGCTACTTGGCCAGTATATATTTGTGTATATGTACATATGCGTGTGTGTGTGTGTGTGTGTGTGTGTGTGTGCATATATATACTTTTGAAAATTCTGGCTTCTGGCCCTGGCCAGTTTAGCTCAGTGTATAGAGAGTCAGCCTGCGGACTCAAGGGTCACGGGTTTGATTCTGGTCAAGGGCACGTATCTTGGTTGCAGGCTCCTCCCCAGCCCTGGCCCTGGTCAGGGCTCATGCAGGAGGCAGCCAATCGATGTGTTTCTTTCACATTAATGGTTCTCTCTGTCTTTCCTTCTCTCTTCCACTCTCTCTAAAAGTCAATGGAGAAATGTCCTCAGGTGAGAATGAAAAAAAAAAAATTCTGTAATTCTAAGGTGAATTGTACTTAACCAATCCCAAGAGAACAATCCTAATTTTAAAATACTCAAAAGAAAAATCCATATTTTTGAAGATTAAAAATGGTGGCAGAGCCGAAACCGGTTTGGCTCAGTGGATAGAGCGTCGGCCTGCGGACTGAAGGGTCCCAGGTTCGATTCCGGTCGAGGGCATGTACCTGGGTTGCGGGCATATCCCCAGTAGGAGATGTGCAGGAGGCAGCTGATCGATGTTTCTCTCTCATCGATGTTTCTAGCTCTCTATCTCTCTCCCTTCCTCTCTGTAAAAAATCAATAAAAAATATATTAAAAAAAAAAAATGGTGGCAGAGTAGGAGGATGCTGCATGGACATGCTCCCAGGAACAACCTGGAATTACAACTGAAATGCGGAAAGGCTTCCTGAATAATCAATGGAAAACTCACAGGAGAGAACCCTGATACCCAAGGACGGAAGGTGGAGACCACATAGAGACTGGCAGGAGGGGCAGAGTTGTGAAAGGGCTGGCCAGACACCCACAGATGACAACTGAAGTCCCAGAGAGATATCTCAGTTGTGAGGGGATGCCACTGAGAACTCTGGGATCTAATCCTGAAGCTGGGCTCCCCAGCAGAGAGCAACAAACTGAGGAGGGTACCCACATAACATCTAGCTGTGAAAAGCAGTGAGGTGCTATCAAGGGGTGGCAGCTGAAAGTTTGGGCACCCTCTTAAAGGGCCAAAACACAAAAATTCCCTGTGGAGCCACCCACCTTGTGCTCTGGCAGAGGGCGGGTGAAGTGGACTGGAGCCGTGAGAGCAGAACCCAGGACTGGGGACTTGGAAGATAGAACTCAGAAGGCAGACACCCCAAGTTTCCTGGGCTGAGTCATTCCCTCACACAGTGGAGAACATCTTTCCCACATGGACATCTGCCTTGCCTAGGGGGAGGGGGGCGGGGGAGGTAAGACAGCCGACACACCCTATGGAAAACACCTTGCCCTGAGGCCATTTAAGAGATTAAAAGTAACAATTAGCCTCCAGGCAGAAGCAACTGCCCCACCCTGTTGAAAAACTCTCCCCACACCTGAGGATGATTGCCTGGGGGCAATTCAAATTGGAATCCTATTAGTTTGTAGACAGAGGCGGCCTCTGGAGGCTTTGAGTCTTAGCAGGATCCAATTAGTCAGAAACAGCCTTTAACACTGCCCTGCACTAGAGATTAAGAGGTATAGAGGATCTACCTAAAACAGTCACAAACCCAAACAATCAAAATGAGGAAACAAAGAAACAACCCCCAATGAAAGAACTAGCAAATTCTCCAGAAGAAGAGATAAATGAAGCACAGATAAGAAATTTATCTGAAACAGAGTTCAGAGTAATGATGTTAAAAATGCTCAACAGTATGAAAAAAGATAGAGTTACTGTGAAAAAAGAACAGTCCGAGATAAAGAATGACATAATACAACTAAAGAACACATTGGAAGGAATAACAGCTGAGGATTGAATCAGTGAATTAGAAAACAGAGTTGAAAATATCACTCATGCCTTAACCGGTTTGGCTCAGTGGATGGAGCGTTGGCCTGCGGACTGAAGGGTCCCAGGTTCGATTCCAGTCAAGGGCATGTACCTTGGTTGCGGGCACATCCCCAGTTGGAGGTGTGCAGGAGGCAGCTGATCGATGTTTCTAACTCTCTATCCTTCTCCCTTCCTCTCTGTAAAATATCAATAAAATATATTTAAAAAAAGAAAATATCACTCAATTAGAGAACCAAAAAAAAAGAATAATTAAAATACAGGAGGACAGCTTAAGGGAGCTATGGGACAATGTGAAACGTAACAATATTAGAATAGTAAGTATGCCAGAAGAGGCAGAAAGGGAGAAAGGAATAGAGAAGGTGTTTGAAGAAGTAATGGTAGAAAACTTTCCTAACCTGGTAAAGGAAAAAGTCACACTTTTTCAACTTAGAGACCCCCAAACAAGAAAACCCAAACACATCATAATTAAAATGCCAAAAATTAAAGACAGAATCTTAAAGGCAGCAAGAAAAAAGAAAACTGTTACCTACAAAGGAGTTCCCATAAGGCTGACACCTGATTTCTCATCAGAAACTCTACAGGCCAGAAGGGAATGGCATGAAGTACTCAAGGTAATGGAAAGCAAGGATCTGAGACCAAGATTACTACATCCAGCAAGGCTGTCATTCAAAATAGACGGTCAAATAAAGAGCTTCCCAGACCAAAAAAAAGGCTAAAGGAGCTCATCACCACCAAGCCAGCATTACAAGAAATGCAAAAGGGATTGCTCTAAGGGATTGCTGAGAAGAAGAAACAGAGAGAGAAACCCAGCCATATAGAATTAAAGTGGCTATAAATAAGTACCTCAATAATAACCCTAAATGTAAATGGATGAAATGCTCCAATCAAAAGGTGTAGGGTAGCTAAATGGATACAAAAACATGACCCAACTATATGCTGTCTATAAGAGACCCACCTCAAAACAAAAGACACACAAAGGATGAAAGTGAAGGGATGGGAAAAAATTTTCCATGCAAATGGAAAAGAAAAAAAAAGCTGGAGTAGCAATACTCACATCCGACAAAATAGACTTTGAAAGCATCATGCTAAGCGAAATAACCCAGTCGGAGAAAGATAAATATCATATGATCTGACTCATTTGTGGAATATAATGAACAACATAAACTGATGAACAAAAATAGAGCCAGAGGGGAAAAATATACTAGAATATAATAGAAGCAATCCTGTTATTTGCAGATTTTTAATATTTCCTACAACTTTTGTGATATACTATGTTAGTACAGTTTTAGTCATATCATTACACTTAAAATTCTTTTATTCTTGAAATATTAATGTTTATTGCATGTAACCTTATATTTAAGATTGTTTTTCTTGAAATATTAAGGTTTAGTGCATGTAACATTATTATATTTAAAATTGTTTTTCTTGAAATAAAAAAAAAACACAAAAAAAGAATATCAAAGACTTTTTTTGAATATTCAATGAGGCTTTGGTACCATATTAATAGGAAAGTCACTTATTATCATTGCCTTAACCTTCTTAAATGAAACCTGAAGATTCAGTATTACAGTAAATAAATTCAAGTGTGGTAGATCACATTATTGTGCAAAAAAAAATCCATATTTTCCCTATTAATTACAGTCTTAAAATTCTTCCTTTTCTCAGATCTATACATCTTTCAATCAAATTTTTCAGTTTTCCACCTCAACTTTAAAAATAGAATACCTATCATTTTTTTACATTTAGAAATTGAAAATAAGAAATATTTCCAGATAATTTATACATTAGAATTAGATTAATTGGATGACTTATTCAACTCTCTGTCCAGCAAGTGTCAATTTGTTCACATGTAATACAAATTTAATTTTCTTAAATATTAGTGGAGTGTGTTAGGGTCCCATTTACTTCTTAATTTGAATTATCCTATGGATTTGATTAACATGATTAGCCAAAGTGCAGAAAAGAAAGTTCTTCATTTCCATTTCAGACGGGCAATATATTTAAGATTTGAGCTCTAGCTTTAGTTCAAATTGCTCCTACAATTTTATTTTTAGTGTTTTTACCTGTGTTGCACTATTTTGTATTTCTCTGAAAGTTTTGTTTAATTGAGCCACAAAGAGTAAAACAGTAAAGAACAAAGAGACAAAGAGGATGAAACAATAGAGCTTAGATGTTAAATAAAACACAGGTTCACTTTTTCTTCCTTCAGAGGACCTATGCCAGCTCTAAGTTAGCTCCCTGAGACTGGAGTGAAGACTTTCTGCCCATCTATTTGCCTTGATTAGTATACTTATTGGACCCAACCATCACATACAACAAAACATAACTAATATGTGTTAGGTAAGTGTGTGTTTGCATGGTTCAAATACATTTTTTATGTCAATACTTTATAATAAACATTTATGCCAAGTACTCTGCTAGATGCTTTATATTTTATTCTCCCAACAATCCTTTAAAGTAAGTACTACTAGTTCTTAATTTTATTGATGGGAAAACTGAGGCTCAGAGGGGTTGAGTGACCTGCCCAAAGCTTCAAAGCTTAGGAAACAGAAGAATCCATATTCAAAGTTGTTTAGTTCCAGAACTTATGCTCTCTCTCTTTTATTTTTAGACTTATGATATAATTCATTTTTTAAATTATTTATTGATTAAAGTATTACCTATGTCTCCCCCCCCACCCCCATTGACCTCTCCCTGGCCACTCCCACCCCCAGCACATGCCCTCACCCCTTTCCCCCACCCCAGTGTCTGTTTCCATTGGTGATGCTTATATGCATGCACACAAGTCCTTTGGTTGATCTCCTAACACCATGTCATGTCCTTCCTCCCCCCACCTCCCCCTGCTGCCTTCCCTCTGAAGTTTGACAGTCAGTTGATGCATCTCTGTCTCTGGATCTATTTTTATTCATCAGTTTATGTTGTTCATTATATTCCACAAATGTGGTATTTATCTTTCTCCTATGCTCTCTTTTTAAAAAAGTACATTTTATTAATTTCAGAGATGAAGGGAGAGGGAGAGAGAGAAACATCATGATAAGAGAACCATTCAACAGTTGCTTCCTGCACACCCCCTACTGGGGCTCAAGCATGTGCCTTTGACCAGAATTGAACCTGGGACCCTTCAGTCTGTGGGTCAACACTCTAGCCACTGAGTCAAACCAGCTAGTCTCTCCTATGTTCTCTTAATGTTAACACTCACTTATACAACTGAACACCAAAATCCACTTATTAATGGGTTGAGGCAGAACACATGTACAGAAACTAAACAAGAAGTGTGAGGCCATTACTAGAAGGATAGGATCTGAGAAACCATTATGTAAATTCCAGGCTTCCTCTGGGAATATATTTATTTGATCACTAGTCTATACAAAGTTGTATAATAGGTAAAATATATTAAAATTACTTAGAGGAATTAGGAGACCATTATAACCCTTTTATCTCTACCTTTTCATTTTAAATAATTTTCATAAACAAGAATACCATATGCATGTTCTACTGGTATGTAGAGGATATAAAGGGCTTATTATCATATCCTCAGCCTACTACTTTTGAAATATACTCTATATACTGTGATATTTTCCTAATCATTCATTTCTAATTATATTCACAAATCATTATTAATAATGATATCCTACTTCCTTATTCAGTTAAACATTTGCATAATATTCTTTATACAATTAAACATTAGCGCAGGTATTTTGGAATACACAGTGTATTCAGGTCTCTAACACTATGTTTGATAAACCATATTTCATTTGTCTAACTTGAAACTAAAAAATTAAGAAAATTAAGAAGTGATCTTGAAATTCTTCTTGGAAAAAGATACTGCAAATGGATTTAAGGAAAAATGTTATGTGAAAACCACCTATTCATTCAGTATTGGCTGGCAATATTTAATGGACCTGATACTAGATTTAGTTTATAACACAAGTTAGGAGCAACTTTCTGGTATTCATCTATTCTTACTCTGTATATTTCAATTTCTCTGTTGAAGTACTACAATTTTGTAATTCAATATCCCTGGTTCATTGTGTCTCAGATGACAGCCAAAAAATAATTGCCAGTTCAAGGCAATAATTGAATATCTCCAGTCTACATATTTAAGATTCATATATAGGAACCAGGAGAAGACATTCTTAGAGGTTAGTCTTTGGGACACCTCCCTTAGCAATCACATCTACTATCCCAGCTCCTATTTACATCATTGAGATATAACTTCCAATCTAGAATTCTAGCTTTGACCACTCTCATTAATTCAGCCTCACATCTCCTATTCTCTACTGAGTATTCTGGACATTTCCACTTGGATATTTAACATTCACCTCAAACTCATATTATTGAGAGCTGGACACATCACCTTTCCCCTTAAAATAGTGTCCCTATCAGGTTTCCTTATTTCTATGAAGAGTTTCTTCATTTTCCTATTTATCCAGGCCAAAATAATTGAATTTTGACTCCTACCTCTCTACTGCCTCCCACCTCACTCATGGTCAATTGACAAGTCTTATCTGTATATTACTTCATTAGTGTTTCTTACATCACCTCCCCCCCACCCCGCCCTAAGGCCGCTTCTCTAGTCTGGATCCCCAATATATATCATGACCTCATAATATCTCATACTAAGTATTCTCCCAAATCAGTTATACCTACAAAATTGGCTCCACCGTTTTCTTCTACTGCCGGGATCTGGTTACTGTTATCAATACTAGCACCAAATTTTCTGGGTTCTCTCAAGCACTTTTTTTCTTAGCTGGTTCTCCCCCCACCCCACCCCCCTCATTATTTGGAGCTACCAGCTATACCTGCATGCCTAAATTCCTTCTGTTTTTCTATTACAAATCTTATAGCAGAGCCCACGTCTCTGGCAACACCATTTCTGATTTGGAATTCTAACTTAATCTTATACCCCTTAACCTAACTTAACCTTGCTCCTTCTGAATTATTAGAAAAGTGAGCCATGGTCTCCTTACTCACAGCCCCCCATCCCCAAAGCTAACTTCAATCTTCTTTTCCTAATCTTAAGGTAGGACTTTCTTTCCCAAGAGACTAGTGACATATATTAAAAAGTTTACACAGAGCCCCAGTTGGCCAACAAACTATGTAATCCCACTTGGCATTTAGCAGACTAGTAAAATCACTTGCATGTTTAGTGATGACCATTGGTCTCTACTCCCTAACCCATTCAGAGCTTTGTCATAATGTCTGTCTGCTCTGGAATTGTACTTCAACATTCTACTGCTGCAACACATAAAGGATGAAGATCATATATGTGACACACCCATGAATATATTTAAATAAGCTTCAAATTATGTGAATTAACCAGTAATTCTGAACCCACCCCTCTTCTATAAAGCATACAAGAATGCAAGAGAAAGAAAATGATGTTATCATAGGAATGACCTTAAATTTCTAAAAAAGAAAGAGCACTGTTGGCAAACTTTAAAAGCACACATATATCTAGTAAGAAATCACTTTGGATATACCTCATAACCAGCACAACAGGTAGAAACACCATTGTCCCATGACCCTAAAGTTGAGAATATTGCTGTTGGTGGATCTACTTTTTTTTTTTTTTTTTTTTTTTTTTTCAAAAGCTTTATAAGAAAGGTGTTGTTAGACTTCTTGCTTGAGCTCAGTAGGGATGCTCTTTTGATCAGGGACCATACTCTCAGAGCCTACAGGGGCTGTGCAGGTTATGTATATGACGGAAGTAGGCAGAAAGCAAGGAAAACAACACTGTGAGCTCAAGGATATATGACAACTGGCACAGAGTAGAGTGGGAGATATTAAGGAAGAACGGGGACAGCAGAAAATGATAGAGACTTTTCCCCTTTCAAAAAGTGGAACAGTTGTGCCCTGGCCTGCGTGGTAAGGCCAGTGCACCGAAAGGTTGCTGGTTTCATTCTGGATCAGGGCACATGCCCAGGTTGCAGGCTCCATCCCCAGTGGGGGGCGTGCAGGAGGCAGCCAATCAATGATTCTCTCTCATCATTGATGTTTCTATCTCACTCTCCCTTCCTCTCTGAAATCAATAAAGAAATATATTTAAAATAATAATAAAAAAAGCAACAGAGGGATACTCCTCCCCTTCTAACTCTAGCAGAAAAGTTGTGAGGAGGCCTTTGATTGCTCTGGAACAGTAAGTTGCCCATTCCTGAACTAATATGATTGGCCTTTTCGGACCAATAGAATTGGGGAGGAATTGCCTGAGGGAAGCAGACACACACCAGAGTTCCCATAGTCCATTGCATCTCCTGTATGGTCATTGGGTTGTTGTTTTTTAGTTCTATGTCTTCTCTACAGCTTTGTGAGGGCCTTGAGGCAAAAGACTATGCCTTATTAATTTTGTACCCACCCAGCCAAGAACGGCACTTGGCATATAGTAGTCCTTCAGTAAATATTTGCTGAAGAAATAAGTGAATAAGCAGATCCAGGCAAATAATTTCAAGAATAGAGGCTTAGGAACCCATGACAAAACTCTGAGCAATATGTATTAAAGTACCAGGAGTAAACAGTAACAGCGTGACTACGAAACCAGCCTTAGGTTTGGAAATTTTATATAGTTCTCGTGGAGGCAGGATCTTATTACAATGTGACCAATTCATGCTGAATAAATATGTGATTGGCATATAAACTTGTGTGAATAGCAAGCAAATATTTATTAGCAGGAAGATCCTGAAAAGTCTCTTATAATTGGTTGTTTAATCTTGTTAACATTTTTATAAAGTCGTATTTCAAAATGTGTTTTAGGATGATGGGAAGGTAAACCATTATAAGAAATCAGTTTGACTGCCACAGATGGTAATGGGCAATTTTAGATTCAGAATGGCTAGAGAACTATAAGATTTTATAGACAACTCTCAGTTTTATCAATCATTTCCCAAAGCATGAGCTTGGTTGGGACAACATAATAAGAGAATTGTGCCAAAAAATATGAAAATAAAAATTAGTATGCATCAAGTTCAAAATTGTTTACAAAATTGAGAGTTTGTGTAAGTGAGACTATGGGGTTAGATATGTATGTAGAGATAAGAAACATTCAGTAGAGCACTAGCCACAAGACCAGTTTTGAGAAAAGCTGGCTTTGAGACAAACAATGTTGATCTTTAGGAAGAAATCATTTGTTGAAGAGGTGAGCAGAACCAAATATAGTGTTGTGAAAAGAATAGAGGGGAAACAAGTCAAAAGTTTGCTTTGAAAAAGTTTAGTTTACACTCAAATTTTGAGTAATATCTCTATTCTAAAATATATGGACTATCCCTGCATTTGTTAAACTACTGTACTCTCTCAGTTGTCAAGTATTAAAAAGTTAAGATGTGCTGAGCTTATTTACATACAGGATGTTATCCTGATCCTGTATGATGTTGCAGAGGGCAAAAATATCATATTTAATCCATCTTTATCTTTGCCTAAGAAAGCTTACAAACAAACAAAACACAGTAGGCACTCAATAGATGTTTTTTGAATGAAAGAATCCTTAAGTTCTATAGTGCTTTACAATTTTCTTTTTAAAATTTATCTTTATTGTTAAAAATATTACAGATGTCCTCCTTTTTCCCCCATTAACTCCCTCCCCCCAGGCCTTCACTGCACTATTGTCTGTGTCCATAGATTATGGATATCCTATATAATAAAAGCCTAATATGCTAAATGTCTGGTCGTCCGGTCATTCGTTCATCCAATCAAAGCGTAATATGCTAATGATATGCTAAGGCTGCTCAATCGCTCGTTATCATGTGCACTGACCACCAGGGGACAGACGTTCCAACCTGTAGGTTAGCTTGCTGCTGGGGTCCGGCCAATTGGGACGGAGCAAGGCAGGCTGGACATGCCCTGGAGCCCTCCCACGGTCCCTCTTCTGCTGGCCAACCTCCTGTGTCCCTCCCCAGCCCCAATCACGCACCAGTGGGGTCTCTCGGCCTGTCCTGTGCCCTCTCGCAATCCAGGACCCTTTGGGGGATGCCAGAGAGCCGGTTTCAGCCCAACCCCACAGGCCAGGCCGAGGGACCCCACTGGTGCATGAATTCGTGCACCGAGACTCTAGTATGCATATAAATTCTTTGGTTAATCTCTTCTCATTCTCACCCCTCATCCCCCATCTTCCCTCTGAGATTTGTCAGTTTGTTCCATGCTTCTATGTGTGCTTTACAATTTTCAAAGAAAATTGCATTCATGCACATGATTTCATATCATTTCATCATAACGCTTCAAGGTCTTTACAATACATTCAGATGAGAAAATAAATTCAGAAGGAGAAAATAATGTCCCAAGCCACAAAAATTTGAATTCAAATCTTCCTTCTGGTTTAGTTGAGTCATAATATGTCCTTTCGATGAATAAAGTATATTTTAAGTCATGTCCCACCCAGAGACATAGAGACAGGTAGAGAATATCTATTTTTTGTCTGTTCACCTCCTTTATGGGACTAAAAACTGCCATTCACACTATTCCACCCCTCTGGTCACTGGGGTAGGAAAGTAACCTAGTTCCAGCCAATAAGAGTACTCTGACCGCAGCATTTGGCTGAGGAGAGGGTATGATCCAAGCCATGTCAATCTGGGTCCTTCTATAGGATTTTTCAATTTAGAGGTAAAAAACGGTTGTTGCCCTTTGAAATCTCAGAGCCTGAAGGGTGTAAAGGTGAGTGTGCTTGGGGCCATCGAGGTATACAGTTGCTGGAGAAAGTGAAACAAGCTGACTGTGAGATGGAGTTGGATAAAGGCTCTGGACTGGTCATGCCTGATGAGTCTGCTCCATCCTCAATATGTTGAACCATATTAAATTTCCATTTTTTTGTAGGTAAAATTGTTCAACATCATCATTTTCATTTGGTTCAACCAAATATACTAGTTAAAGGACAACACATCAATCTTATCCAGAACCTTATGAGATTTTTCCAGCCTAACACCTTCATGTGATAAATGGGGAAATGAAGGCCTAGAGACTTCAAAGGACTTCCTCAAGGTCAGAACTAATGTCAAATAATGCAGGTTTTTGAATTGCAGTCCAGGACGCTTTCCTTTAAGCATAATGAGGCCACCGTTTTCAATTAGTCATTTTCAAATTGGTAAACGAGTTGCTTTTCACTGTTTATTTTGTTGTTAACTTTAGATATTTTTTTTTCCTTGTTAAGCATAGGGAAATATACTGTTATGACTCAAAGCAGGCAAATTTATTTGTTACATACTTTTCTAGGAAAAATAATCTCTAGAATTTGACTAAAACCATGAACTTTAAAACCAAAAGAAATAAAAGGATTTAAGTTAAATACATAGTAATTTTTAAGGCAAAATTAACATATGCAAAATTCTGACTACATTTTCCTTCTTTTTTAAATTTCTTTTTTCCCCAAATAAGTCCAACTTTAGTGTATGTACATAAGAAACACCAAGAGTTGCTTTTTAAACGTACAGATTCCTGAATCCCACACCACACCACTGAATCAAAGTCTCGGGGTGGTGGGGGAGTGTCTAGCTAGGCCCATTCATTGTAGCAAGCTTACTGGATGGTCTTACACATACTGAGGTTTAAGCAGTAGTGCCTAAAGTTTTGACATTCTCGGGGATTCTGTCACTCAAAGAGGAGAGTGCTGAGAACACATTCCTATAAAATCACTATAAGGCCACAGTTACCAATGGGGCTGGGATTTATTATCCAAGTGTGTTGGGCCAACTCATCAGTGCCCATTAATTAGGCTATCACCTACTCATTTACTAATGTGTATCCTGCTCAAATATTTGACCTAATTCACATAATATTTCTAATGAACAACCAAGTATTCCTACCTCAAACCCCACATATCTTTAACCAAGCTCATTTCTATTGGTTTCTCCAAATCTGCTCTTTCTTCTGCATTATCTACTTCAGTTAATGGCACCACAAGCCATCTAATTGGTTAAACCAGAAAACTTGGAATTGTCCTCACTTCTGTTTTACTTCTCACCTAATTAGTCACCTAGTCTTGTCTCACCTACTTTTCAAACATTTCTCAGATTAGTTTTCTTTTCATAATCCTCATTGCCATTGCCTCCGGGTCCTTCTTTAGATGATTGTTATCTCTTCTGGGGCTTTTTTTTTTTTTCTTCTTCTTCTGGGCTTTTGAAATAGCCTCCTACAAGGCTTTCCTGTCTGTAGCCTCATTTTTTCTGTAGTCCACCTTTCACATTGCCATGGGAAGTACTTTTCTAAAATGTAAATCAGATTTTGCCACCCCTTTTAAGGTGGCTCCTCATTACCTCCCAGATAAAGCCTTATCCATTTTCGTGACATACAAAGCCCTTTGTGATCTGGTTTAACTTTTCAGAGGAATAATCTCTTGCTATTCCTGCCTTGGGTGTCAACCCCACTGGACAGTCACATCTTCTGTTAAACTTCTTTGACTCCACCCCTGTGTGGGCACAGCTAGTGAGTCCTCTTATCTTTTAGATAACTTTATACAGGCTTCTATAATAGCACTTATCATTGTCCTGTGATTATTTTGTTTACATGTTTATTCAACTAGGGCTAGGCTATGAACTTGTAGATTGCAAGAAATTCCTAGTACAGTATTTATCTTTGTATCAGCAGCATAGGATATATAGAATTTCCTGACTCATAGTAGGTCAGTGACAGAACAAACATGTGATTGACTTGAGATCCAACTATGTACAAAAACACTTTGCTTTTTATCTTGTGTTAAATATATTCTCAAAGAGTATTTTTGCATTTGTATTTTGGGGTAAGTGTTAGCTTTATCTAATCCCATTTGTTGTTTTTGTCTTTCATAAAAGTCTAAAAAGTATAAGTCAAAGCGCATGATTCAAATCCAGTAGTTTTAGATTTAATACCACCCTTATTTTCATCATTTTAAAATAGCCCTAACATAATATCTTATTAGTGTCTATTAACTGTAAAATTTGGGGCTTTCATACAATGTTTTGAAAGCTATTAAAGCCTAACTTACACCAAACTAGGGACTCTCTGTGAACATAAGCAAAATTGTGCCACTGTTATCTATGCAGAAAAGACAGACATGTTGACTTACTGTATAATTTTTCTATTATAGATCCATTCTCAGCAGGAAGCAAAAACCAGGAGAGTTTCTCTATCTCAAGTTAGCATTCATCTGATATTCTAAATATATCTCTTGAAAAAGAGAATCAAAGGAAAAAATATATTATTTCCCTGTATTCAGGGAACTTGAATACAGTTTCAAGTGTATTCTATTCCAACCCATACTAAAGCCCCTGTACTATAGGTATTCTAGATATAATTTACTTCTGTAAGTATTAAGCTGACACTTCCCCATGTATTTCTAATTTCTCACCCAGCCTTAGCTAGTATCATGGTCCTGCAATGCTAGTGTAGATCTTTTAGGTCAAGATATTATGTAAGTGGGAAAGGAATGAAACAGCCAATTTAGGAAGAATCAGTTTTACATTAGTCAGAGTTATTGATATGTCTGCCCATTTGCAAGAGACTAAGTTCCCTTTGAGACAATAGGAAGCAGCCATTAACTTAAATGTAGTGCCCTAGCTGGTTTTGCTTAGTGGATAGAGTGTCAGTCTGTGGACTGAAGGGTCCCAGGTTCAATTCTGGCCAAGGGCACATGCCTGGGTTGGCAGGCTTGATCCCTAGTAGGAGGCATGCAGGAGGCAGCCGATCAATGATTCCCTCTCATCATTGATGTTTCTATTCTCTATCCCTCCCTCTTCCTCTCTGAAATTAATAAAAATATATTTAAAAAAATAACATAAATGTAGCGAGTGAGTTGTAAAAGAAATCTTAAGTTAGAAAAGAGAGCATATTACAAAAGAAAGAACATATAGGATTATGGGAAAGGAAAAATATATTGGTAAATACCAAGAATTGGGTAAGGTAATCATGGGGATCTAGAAAGAGAATAAAAATGTCAGTATGGCATTTTTACTGTGTCAAATATGTCAAATATTTTACATAATATTTGAAAATACTATGTCAGTATGGCACTTTTACAATGGCAGCTCAAGAGGCCATATCTCAAATAATCCTGAATACGTCATCAAAAAATATATATTCTCTCTCTTTTTTTCAATGGAACATGGAGTAATTCTTTAGGCACTGCTATACTCGTTAGCACTGCTGTTGTCTTTCCCCACCAGTTCTTAATGTTTTCTCTAAGAAGTTATACTAACCTTAAACTCACATACCTTGGTCCCAAGCCTCTTTAAGTGAATTTGTCCCTTTCTACCGTGTTAGTTTGAAGATTCTAGAGATTTGTTTCTCAGCTGCTGGGAGTCTCTCCTTTGCCTGTTCTGTGAGCTGGTTAAGAGATAAGTTTGCATTTGGTACAACAAGATCCTACCGTACTTCCAAGTTGCTTCTCCTTGTCTCTCTTTATGAAACACAGCAGGCCCTCCAGACTAGATGTGGATGGTTGCTGGGTAAAACAAACACCCTGTGTCCCTCTTCCACTAAGCACTGTAAGATAAACATTCTAACTTTTCCCAGCCACTCACTAGCTGGGCTATAAAGCTCTTTTGTTTGTATTCAGAAGTGTGGTGAGTTATTTACTTTGTGAGCTGGGGATAACTTAGCCACTAGTATCTTCAAAAGTAGCCTGAAATCACTGAAGTTGTCAGTTTTTATAGAACTGAGCAGCACATAGAAAAACCTACAAAATTACACCGTTACAACAGAAAATTTGACAGCCATTTTAGTGATTAATAAATCTGCTGTCTGAAAGCATTGCCCTTTATGGCATGCCGTCAAGGTGCCGGTTAAGCCTGTTTTGTTTTGTCATCAGTGTACATAGCTACTGTTGGTCACTGTCCTGCATATCAAAGGACCTTTCTTTATCTTTTCTGCAATTCCATCTTTTTTTTTTTTTTTTTTACTTTATATACATCTTTTTAGTTCTCATGCTAACTTAGGTTCTAACATCTCCACCTTGTTCTTCAAGTGGTAACTGTCAGAATGAGCGTGTGTCGTGATAGAGCAGTGGTTCTCAACCTTCCTAATGCCGTGACCCTTTAATGCAGTTCCTCATGTTGTGGTGACCGCCAATTTCATTGTTACAAATTGAACATAATTAAAGCATAGTGATTAATCACAAAAACAATATGTAATTACATATGTGTTTTCTGATGGTCTTAGGCGACCCCTGTGAAAGGGTCATTCGACCCCCAAAGGGGTCCCGACCCACAGGTTGAGAACCGCTGTGATAGAGGTTCCACCAGCACTGAGCACACAAGGAAGCTGGCCTGATGGTCCTTTCGTACCAGCTGCCAATTTACAGGTCCTTAAAGAGTGCAGTGCTTCCCTGCTCGTTCATGGTCAGCTAATTATCCACTTCAATCCTACATATTTTGCTGACATTTTGAAAATGTATATATCTATTAATTTCAGAGAGGAAGGGAGAGGGAGAGAGAGACAGAAACATCAATGATGAGAGAGAATCATTGATCGCTGCCTCCTGCACACCCCACACCAGGGACCAAGCCGCACATGAGCCCCGATTGGGAATTGAACCATGACCTCCTGGTTCATAGGTCCATGCTCAACCACTGAGCCCACCAGCCAGGCACTGCTGACATGTTTTTATATAGCTAAAGTTCCCATCTGACTTTTTGATTGTTTGGTTTGTCATTGTTGTTTTGTGTTGTACCTGCCTCTACTCAGTACTGTTTTCTTTGTTTTTAACACTTCTCTAATTGTCCAGGGTCATTTTGAATTCTAATGTTGCCTTATGGTTAACGGCTGTTTATTTTGAGAGGTTTGGGAACATCACTTCTATTCTTCCACCCAGATTATATATAACTAATGTAATAGCAAATACCGGGGGGGAGGGGGGGCGGATTTAAGGGGAAATTTCACTCACAAATGCAACAAACTACGTATTTATAAACAAACTACTATATTTAAAAATATACCTAAACAGTTTTAAGAAGTAACATGTAAGACCCATTTAAAGGAAAATACAAAACTATTGAGCTATAAAATAATTTTCCCCCAGGTCTTATAGTTGGAGAATACTGAGTATTCATCCAGAAGGCATTATGTTTGAGTGAGTTTAGCAAATGAATGCTAGAGTCTGAGCCTGTGTTTCTGGTGAAGGAACTGTTGTTGGGAAGCCACAGGACTTTGTGACCTTTTGTTCTCTAACTATACACAATCAAGGATGCTCAGAGGTTATCATGCCACCTACAACCCCAATTACAATAGAAGCACTAATTACAGTGAGCATTGGTCAGGTTGCAGTGTTTCTTGTAGGCAATAGTTTCTAGTTTCACTTTGTGAGAAAATATAGGCATTTTTAGTTCAGAAATTAGAAATCATTGTGAACTCTCATTGATAGATTTTAAATGTGCTTATTTGATGCCAATAATCATTTGGCTTAAAAAATTATACTTTAAATATGTAACAAATTGGACATTTGAGCTTCACTGTACTTAGTCATTATTATTATTATTTTTAAAAAACTTCACATGGCCCTTTTTTACATAATAAAACTGAAACCTCTGCTATCTTGAACTGAGAAATAAGTTTTGGAGATAGCTTAGCTTTTTGCATTAGTTCAAAAAACTTAAAATTTATAACCATTCTTGATGGAAATTTTCCTTAAGATTATTATATATATATTCCAAATTCTGTGAACAGAATAGTTAGTGTAAAATGTAACTTTCATTTGATGTCACAGGTTCAAAAAAACACAGGGGCATAAGGAGCTTTTTCTACACAAATTCTGGTTCTGCCACTTAATAGCTGTGCACTTTGGGCAAGTCAATCAATCATTCTGAGCCTTGGATTACACCCAACTTGAGCTACTTACATTTTCAGGCTGTTGTGAATATGAGAGAGAGAGGGGGAGAGAGAGAGAGAGAGAGAGAGAGAGAGAGAGAGAGAGAGAGAATGAATCAGAGTATAGATTATATATCATTAAATGTAGAAGTATTGCTTTAAGTTGCATTTGAGAAAGAGAATTAATTTTTTTTGAGTGCTTGTGTGCCAGGTACTTCACCTGTTGTCTCCTTCAGTGTTTATAACAACCTTTCAATGTTTATTATGCCCATTTTATAGATTACATATTAAATCATAGAGTAGTTAAGTAACTTGCTCTTTGTAACAATGATGAGCGAATGAGAGTAAAGTGGGTAAGTCAAAGTCCAGAAGGATAACTTGAATTTTCCCTGGTCACCTACGGGGGGGAAAAAAGAGATATAAACAGTCTTTTTCATCCTGGCCGGTTTGGCTCAGTAGATAGAGCGTCGGTCTGTGGACTCAAAGGTCCTGGGTTCGATTCCAGTCAAGGGCACATGCCTGGGTTGAGGGCTCAGTCCCCAGTAGGGGGCGTGCAGGAGGCAACCGACCAATGGTTCCCTCTCATCATTGATGTTCCTATTTCTCTCTTTCATTCCCTTACTCTCTGAAATCAATAAAAATATATTTAAAAAATATATAAACAGTCTTTTTCACTGTCAGTTCATTGTTTTGTTTTTTAATCTTTTAGTTTTTAGGGTTACCCCCTCCTCCATCAATAGAGGAAGTGTATGGCTAGATATTTCTTGATATTACATAATTAATATTAATTTCAAAAGTGTGATAGTGACATTCTAGTTATTACATTTTTAAAGAGTCCTGTTATGAACTGAATGTTTGTGAATCCCAAAATTGATATATTAAAACCCTACCCTAAACCCCCCATGTGATGATATTAAAAGATGGGGCCTCTAGGAGATAATTAGGGTCAGACGAGGGCATGAGGGTGAAGCCCTCATGATAGGATTAGTAGTACCCTTTTAAGGGTTCGGAGAGAGCTTGCTTTCTCTTTCTGTTCTCTACCATATGAGGATACAGCTAGAAATTAGCAGTTTGCAGCCTGGAAGAGGGCCCTCATTACGACCTGACTATGCTGGCACCCTGAGCTTAGGACTGGGAGAAATAAATTTCTGTTGCTGATAAACTACCCAGGTTATGGTATTTTCTTATTGGAGCACAAGCTGATTAAGACAGATTCTTTCTTCTAAAGATACATTCTAGAATATTTACAAAGGAACAGTTATGAATTCTAGAACTTGTTTTTACAATTACTTGGAGGTGAAGAGGATTGTGTGTGGGTTGTAGGTACAGATGAAATAAGGTTAGCAGGAGTTAATACATTTGGAAACTGGCTGATGAGATCTGATTCTAAGTCCCCTTGACTCCAAAGCCCATACACCATTTTATCTGGTGGGATACCGAAGCACCATCAATTTCAAAGCCATTTTCCCTGGGTCTTCTCTAAATGAAGTAAAGTTGTGACTTTTGAAAACTAGTTGTTATTGTGCATTCTTCCTGTCTTCTGAATTTTGATTAACCTCCTGTAAAGGAGCCAGACCTTGGAAAAGAAAATATAAAGTGTATGTTTTCCCCTTGGGCAACACTCTGTAATAGCTCAGGCACTCTGAGTACTGACTGATGTGATCCAAATTCATGCAATGCTTTCTTTGTTTGCAGGTACAGAGACACCCTCAGCTGAAGCCACTAAGCTGTTGCTGAGGCTTAGTTGTTGAGACTGGAAGTGATTTGAAAAGTCTTCAAATGGCCATTTGTGAGAGTGTTCTACTTAGGTAGCAAGTTGCCATTGCCACCACAGAAATAACCTCTACTGAACTTCCTATTGGGTCTCAAATCTGAATTGGAAATTGTCCACTCACCCATACATGGGTTTATCATGAAGTGATCGAAGCTTAAGCTTCAGGGTCCTGCATCTGTCAGGCTGCTTACAAGATCCCAGCAATACGGTTGTTATAAATTCAGAGAGCACTTTACACAGTCCCTGCCAAGAAAACTTGAATTGCCCTGAAATCGTACAGATAATTAATGCTAAAACTTGACATTTTCCAAATTTGACAATAGTCTTATAAATGACTTTGGGAGTAGTGAGGTGTGAAACTGAAAGAAACTTTTCTAATCTGTCAGTAATGAAAAAAATTTAATCAGCTATTCTAGAGAAAAGATGAATTATCTTTTAATTCCCTCTATAGGAAATATTACAAAATCATTATCAGTTAAAGATGTTAACAGAGGATATACAAACAAAACAAAACAAAAAAACAACAACCATAGATTATGTCATCAAATTAGTAAAGCTTATTTTTCTGGATTTGGAAATCTTTGTGGTATTTGTCAGCTTTTCAAAATTTGTAATTAGTTGTAATTTCTTTTCTCATTCTATACGAATATTCATTATTAAACCTAGCTCTTTTTTTCCTTTTTATTGAATTTATTCGGGTGACACTGGTTAACAAGACCCTAACTATTTTGTATTCATAACTTTGTATTCCTGTTCTTAAAAGGTACTCCCAAATTGTATTAGCAACAGGTGTTGTAAAACCTGGACTCACCTTTGTACCCATCCCACTCTCTCTCAGGACGGTTTGTATAACGAGCTGTTTTTGTCTTTCTGTAGGAAGTTGACAGAGCTCCCAAAAGGCCTTCTTGTTCTTCCTTTCTTGGAAGAAAGGGGGGGCCCACCTTGAAAAGCTAGCTCAAGATGTTGCTTCCGGTGGAGCCAGGCAGGAGTACACCAATATTCTCTTGTGTCCGTTTTTCTAACAGGTGTGACTGGGTATCCGTAATATCACAGCTTCTGCCTCTCATCTGAGATATATGGTCTGGGCTAGCCACAGGACTGGCTTCGGTAACTGGTTTCTTAGTCTACATGCCCACACATCCAGTGACTGCAGCTCTCCTGGTGGGGTGAGGGACATTTCCTACCATCTTAATGAGATTTGTGGTAGCTCTCTTCTAAGTTTTCGCCTTAGCAGAGGCCATCTGTTCAGCCTCCAGTCTCCCATTCCTAGAAACCCTGGCCCCTATATCATGGTCCCTCGTACCTGGATCACAAATGGCTCTCAGAGAACTTGGGTCCATGACATCTCTTGACAGGACACAGGCACATTCAGACACTGATTCTCATAAACTCTGAAGCATTGGTAGACTGTACTTAATGCTAAGTAAGTTTTGAGTATTGTAACTATTTTGAATTGAAAGCTAGGGAAAACAGTGGGAAAATTTTGTGTCCCTAAATTTTGAAATTAATTCAAATTATGAAAATAAGTACTAAAAATCTGAAGTGTCCTTAAAAATCCAGAAAATATGTAATTAGAGAGCAGTGTGAGGTAAAGGGATTAATAAGTAAATTGGTAGTTATAAAATAGTCATGGAGAGAAAGAAAAAGGAGAGAGGAGAACCAAGATGGCGGCATAGGTTAACGCCGGAGTTTGCTGCCTCGAACAACCACTTCAAAAGTGAAACTAAAAGACGGAACGGACATCACCCAGAACCACAGGAATGCGGACTTATTGGAAGTCCTACAACTAGGAGGAAAGAGAAACACATACCGACCCTCAGAGGAGGTGCAGTGCTGAAGTCAAATACTGAGGTGTGGAGTGCATGCAGAGCGGGCTGGTGGCTGAGGGCGCAGTTGGCGTTTTCAATCGGGAGGGAGTCGCAGACTCTGAGCTCCAGATCCGGCGAGTCTTTAGGGACCCTGACTCAAACGGGAGAAGCGGGACTGTCTGGCTTCGGTCAGAGCAAGTGCAGCTTTCTCTCCCAGGTTTGCAGCGGTTGCGGGGACTCAGAGAGGCAGAGCCCCTGGGGACAGGACTGAGAGCAGCCATAACTGCTCTCTCCGGCCCACCCTGTTGATCCCCTTCGACCCACCCGCCCCGCCCAAGCCCTGCACAGAGGCATTATATGAATGCTTCTTAAAGGTATCCTTTAAGAAGAGGAAGAAGAAGAAAAAGGTAAAGATACAAATTATGAACAACAAATATGCATCTATCAACAAGTGAATCTAAGAATCAAGTGAATAAATAATCTGATGAACAGAATGAACTGGTGATTATAATAGAATCAGGGACATAGAAAGGGAATGGACTGACTATTCTTGGGAGGGAAAGTGGTGTGGGAGATTCGGGAAGAGACTGGACAAAAATCGTGCACCTATGGATGAGGACAGTGGGTGGGGAGTGAGGGCGGAGGGCGGGGCGGGAACTGGGAGGAGGGGAGTTATGGGGGGGAAAAAGAGGAACAAATGTAATAATCTGAACAATAAAGATTTAATTAAAAAAAATAAATAAATAAAATAGTCACGGAGATGTAAAGTACAGCATAGGGAATATACTCAATAATCCTATATAACAGTGGTTCTCAACCTTCTGGCCCTTTAAATACTATTCCTCATGTTGTGACCCAACCATAAAATTATTTTCGTTGCTACTTCATAACTGTAATGTTGCTACTGTTATGAATCGTAATGTAAATGTCTGATATGCAGGATGGTCTTAGGCGACCCCTGTGAAAGGGTCATTCAACAGCTAAAGGGGTCACAGCCCCCAGGTTGAGAACCGCTGCTATATAATAAAAGGGTAATATACAAATTGACCCTAACTGGAATGACTTGGAATACTGGTTGCTATGATGTGCACTGACCACCAGGGGGAAAAATGCTCAACACAGGAGCTGCCCCCTGTGGTCAGTGCGCTTCCACGGAGGGGAGCACTGCTCAGCCAGAAGCTGGCTCATGGCTGGCCAGTGCAGTGGCAGTGGCGGGAGCCTCTGCGCTAAGGATGTCTGACTATTGACTTAGGCTCACTCCCCATCGACCTAAGGGTCCCCAGTGGGCCTAAGCCATTAGTTGGACATTCCCCAAGAGCTCCCGGGCTGCCAGAGGGATGTCTGACTGCCGGCAGGTGGACATCCTCCGAGGGGTCCCAGACTGTGAGAGGGTGCAGGCTGGGCTGAGGGACCCCCCAGAATGCACGAATTTTTCTGCACCAGGCCTCTAGTATTGTAATAACTACATATGGTGCCAGATGGGTATTAGACTTATTGGGACAATTGCTTCATGAAGTATAAATTTAAATGTCTAAGATGGCCCTGGTGAGATTGCGACGGCCCCTGTGAGGCTGAGATGGCCCCAGTGAGGCTGGGACAGCCCCAGTGAAGTTGAGACGGCCCAGGTGAGGTCGAGACGACCCATGTGAGGTTGAGACAGCCCCTGTGAGGCTGAGACAGCCCACGTGAGGCTGAGACGGCCCCGGTGAATTTGCAACGGCCCTGGTGAGGTTGAGATGGCCCCTGGGAAGCTGAGAAAAATACCACATGAACTCACTCATTTATGGATAATAAGGACCATTATAGACTGATGAACAAAAATGGATACAGAGGCAGAGCAGCATTGATTAGAATGTCAAACTACAGTGGGAACCCTGGGGAGGTTTGGGGGGTGGGTAGGAGATCAACCGAAGGACTTATATGCATACATATGAGAATAACTAATGGACACAAGACACTGGGGAGCGGGGGAAGCCAGGGGAATGTCAAGGGGGGGAAAAAGGAGACATGTGTAATACTCTTTGTAATACTTTAAGAAATAAAAAAATAAATAAAAAAATTTAAATGTCTAATCACTATGTTGTATACATGAAACTAATATAATATTTAATGTCAATTGTAATTAGAAAATTTTAAAAAATATTTAAAATATATAAGAAATAGTTTGTTGGTGTTTTAAATGACCCTAGGTTGTTATACACTTTATTTATTTATTTATTTATTTATTTATTTATTTATTTATTATTTATTCATTTTTCCTGCAGACACCAGGCAATTTTATTATGTAAAATAGAAAACAGCGTTTTAAAACCTCTGTTCCTCAGACCAGTTAATTGCAAATTTATCTTTAAAAAGTTAAGGAACTGAGTGGGGGAAGTTTCATAAAGGAAGGAGCCCAGCACTGCACACAAATTCCTCCTCACGTCCCTGCTGAGTCCCAAAAGGCAATGGCCTGGGTCAGCACCAGGGAAACCCGGGAAGCTAAAGCATCTGAGGAGCAGTTTTCAAAACACCAAGTCCTGTGGAGTTAGAGATGTGAGGTAAACACCTTGAGCTTCTCCCAGAAACTGGAAGGACCAAGCCTTAAGAATAAGGACTATCTCCCAGGACTAAGGCGTATGCCCTAGGAACAGGGCTAAATCAAACAAACCTACCTCCACAAGGTCTAAAACGAAGCTTTCACTGTTTCCAGGAAGTTAACGGCTAGAAGAAAATACAATTGTATTTAGAGAACACAACAGAATCCAGCGTCTACATAATCACGCTTAAACTACATAATCTTTACTTAGGATAATCTCCTTCAGTTACTTCCTTGTAGCTTAACAGAACAATTGAGTAACCTTGGAATGGAGATAAGAAACACCCTAACCTTTGTAATAGAATGGATAGGATTAAAATCAACTGGTATAAATACACATGTAACAGGAGAAATAAAGACAGAACCTGGCTACAGAACCTGGCTAGGTTGCTGATCAACTGAACACTGCCTCCATGTCATTCCTTCTTCGCCGACTCCGTCCACACCTTTGGGAACCCCTGGACCTGCTGGGGTTGGATCCCAACAGTATCCAGTGTCTACAATGTATTCCAGTTTCTACAATGAATCCAGCGTCTACAATGTATCCAGCGTCGACAGTGTATCCAGCGTTGACAGTGTATCCAGCGTCGATGATGTATCCAGCGTCTACAATGTACCCAGCGTCGACAGTGTATCCAGCATCTACAACTGTGCCCAGTGTCTACAATGTACCCAGCGCCTACAATGTATCCAGCGCCGACAGTGTACCCATGTTGACAGTGTACCCAGCGTCAACAGTGTACCCAGTGTTGACAGTGTATCCAGCGTCGACAGTGTATCCAGCATCTACAAATGTACCCAGTGTCTACAATGTACCCAGCGTCTTCAATGTATCAGTAAAATATCCAAAACACCACAGCAAACAGCCTGTATGTGAAGAGAGAGAACAGTCGGTATAAGTAGACACAGAGATAACCCAGACATTTGAATTAACAAACAAGGACTTAAGGTTACTCTTATAACCATGACAAAAAGAACCTTCAGGAAAAGCGAGCTGTAATGGTGGCAGACACAGGAAATTTCTGGGTGATACTAGTATATATAAAGGAGAATACAGGAGAGAGATGGAAACCTGAGGGAGGAGGGTGAAAAAGTGCCTTAAGAGATACATCAGCCCAAAGCAACTCGTGGTTCCTGTTGGGATCCTGATTGAAATAAAGTGACCGTAAGAACAAAACAGTGATTGTTATACATTTTAAATCCGTTCAGCTGTCCTTCACACATGCTCACTTCCCTTGCTATGATGTTAGCAATGATCATTTCTTGCTGCATGCAAGTTAACAGCCTTCTTCACAGTAGAGCTAGTAGTCTTGAGAGTGAGTTTGGAGCCAGGTTCTTTGGGTGGAAATCTCAGATCTGTCACATAAGAGCATAAACCCTGGGCAAGTTTTTTTTTTTTTTTTAACTTTTCATTGATTTCCACATATACAAAATGGTGGATAACAATGTGCCAACTCATGAGGTTGTCATGGGTTTAAGTTAATTAAAACTGCTTAGGACAATGCCTGGAAAATAAAGGGTGCTCGACAAATGTTTGTTATTGTCACTATCTTTCTCATTCGTTATTTCAAATCTGCTAAGGATTTAAAAACCAGATAATCAGACTTATTTGAACTCTGAAGAAGATAAAACTAAATGATCTTTGCGTAAATGCCTAACCAACTAGGACCTGAGTAAAATGTGTGAGTGTTAGTGCAGCCAACTTGTTCAGGTAGAAAAAAGCTTTAATGAGGCATCATTCTGTTACGAAGGGCTACTTATCTGACCTGCTTCTGCTGATAAACAGAATCTTGACTCCGATTATTGATTTAGACAGAGAATTTCAATGTTATGCAAAGTATCCCTTAATCAAGTCTTTATAGTGACAGCAAAACGTGAAGTGAAAATGGCTCCACCTGAGATAATAAGCATACAACTTAGGAGTAGCTATATTAAGCATCATGATGCTCAGAACAAACTTTCCTATGCTGTGTGCTTCTGATGTTGATTTCTAACATGCTATGTTCAGGGACCAGTGGCACCCTTTGTCACTAGTGGATAAAGGCAATGTCTCTGTCCCCATTCAGTTTAATCCTCTTCTTCCATCACCCCAATTTTCACAAGCTTCTGCAGTGGTTTCATTCATTTCGAAATCCTTCCTTTTTGTTTTGTTTTTCAGACAGATCCATGTAGTGCTGAAATTCCCGGTGCACAGTTGACCTTGGCCTTATTCTTAGACAAGGTTTCTGTCTCTGGGGTGACAGTGAGTGGAGGTTATGATGCTCAGTAAGTAACAGTCTCTCAATAAATATTTATTAAACAAATGGATAATTGCTCTAGCTTTCAGTGGGAAGAGAATAAT